AATTTGCTAACCTGGTAAAAAATTCAGAAACTTTTCAGGTCAAAATACATTTTTGTTAATTGATTTATGTTTTGTTTTTCTTTTTTTTTGGCCACACTGTATGTGCTCAGGGCTGACTCCTGGGTCTTCACTCAGGAATCACTCCTGGAGAGGCATGGGAAACTTTATGGAATGTTGGGGAACGAATCTAGATGGACCGAGTATAAAGCTAGCACCTCACCCATTGCACTATCTCTTCAGCCCCAGTGAACTGATTTTTAAATAAATATACCATTATCAATGTGCCTTATAAGTTTTTAATCACAGAAACAGGGTTGGAGACACTGCCTATATTTATAATGATGATAATAATACCAATAAAGTAATATCCATTGGGCACAGTGCTCTGAGAAACACGCCAAACACAAGGACAAAGGAAAATGATGGTTTAAAAGAAAGACCAACACGGTCTGAAATGCAGAGACGTCCACAGCTAGGGAGCCATGGTGGAGCAATGAGAGGTTTGTGATGATGTGCACTGATGCAGTGTCACCTTCCCCACAGTACCGCCTACACTCAGTACCCTGCACAGTCAATGAAGTTGATAGGCAGCACTTTACATGGAAATGACTATTTTGCCAGGTTCCAAAAAGTCAATTAACAGCAATTTCACATACTTGAAGCCAAGTGAAAACCAGTTGTGGAACTCATCTTGCAACCTGTCTCTAACTTTCTGTCATGATAGTTACTATTACTTTTCCTTGAGCACCCTGAGAGTGGTGGAATGGGATAGTACCAGAAGGGCATATCGAAAGAGTATGAGAGGCAATGTCTTCTGAAACAACAACAACAACAATTCAAACAACACCCCTAAATCCACTAACCCCCCATTTTTCCAAGTATGAACATATGGAACCATTCAGTTGTCCATAACTCCAACTATTCTTTTAATTTTAATTCATTTTGCTTTTATGCTCACTCTGTGGAATATACAGTTTGTGTAATATAGTTTCTTATATTGTGGAAGTCACAGCTGGTGCTTCAAGGGCTGCTAAGGGTGGGTGGGAAATGCTTGGATCGGACTTCAGAGTCTCACATGCTAGGTTTGTTCTCTACCAACTGAGCTATTTTCTGGACTAGGACCTTAACATTAGCTTGCAAATTTATTAACTTTTTTAGTGGGTAATTGGAAACATACATATAATTTTACCTCCCATTCTGTTAATGGTAGTTTCCTTTCTTTTTGGGCTGGGGGTGATTTGGGACCACACCCAGCTCTGCTCAGTTACTTCTGGTTTGACACTCAGGGATCATTCCTGGCAGACTCAGAGGACTATGTGGGGTGCTGAAGACTGAATCCAGGTCAGCTACATATAAGGCAAGCACCTCAACTGTCTTATCTCTTTGGCCTAATAAAAATATTTTCTGAAGAAATGAATATCCAGACTTTTACTTATTTATTATGTATTTAACAAATCAATTGATTAATTTTAATCATTACCAGAGTGAGTCAATGCTGTAATGAAGAAAAGTGAAGATGAATGTGGGACTTTGTCATAATACAGGAGAGAAAGAAATTGTAGGACTTCAAAGAACTTGTCAGGCTAGACTGTTGCTTAATCTCAATATCAGTTGTTTCATATAAAAGGCACATTGAACATAGGTATGTTCTTAAGAATTAGGAATAGGGGATGGAGAGATAGTACAGCAGATGGGGTGCTTGCCTTGCATGCAGCTAACCAGGGTTTGATCCGGATCTCCCCCCAACCACTGCCAGCAGTGGTACCTGAGCACTGAGCCAGGAGTAACCCCTGGGCATTGCCAGGTGTGACAAACAAAAAACAAAACAAAACAAGAACACACACAAAAACTCAGGATTAAAGTAACTGTGATGGGCTCAGTGGTAAAGTATGCATGTACGAGACCTGGATTAGATCCTTGGCACCATCAGAAATCAATCGAGATTAAGCAAAGAAATCAATCGAGATTAAGCACCTGTTCTCAGCTTGTAAATATATTGCTGGGACTGGATAATGAATGGGTACATGAGTTTGTGAAAGAATTCACTGAGCGTACTACAGACAGAAACAGAGAGAGTTGTTCTTAGGTGAATAGGAAGGACAAAAAGCATTTTTAAAGACTAAATTGGAAGGTAGAAATTGGGGATATTACACTTAGCTTAATGTCAAAATATGACAGGAAAAATACCTGGTGTTAGTTTGTAAATATGTACTTAAAATGAACAGGAATAATTTATACCACTTACATAATGTCAAATATATCAAGTCTTTAAATAGGTGTGCATAAGATACCTCTAAATCCACTAAAAATTAAACAGATACTGTCACTGTCACTGTCCCTGTCCTCCCGTTGTTCATCGATTTGCTTGTGCGGGCCCAGTAACATTGTGAGACTTGTTACTGTGTTTGGCATATCGAATACACCATGGGTAGCTTGTCAGGCATTGCCGTGCGGGCAAGATACTCTTGGTAGCTTGCTGTGCTCTCCGAGAGGGGCGGAGGATTCGAACTCGGGTTGGCCATGTTGGCTGCGTGCAAGGCAAACACCCTGCCCACTGTGCTATCGCTCCAGCCCAAACAGATACCAACAATTTAAAAATATTTCAGTGTTAATAGAATTCAGTTGCTAATTTCAATAAAATCCAGCTCCTGGACGAGAACAGTGCAGTCTTCTGCCCCGCGCCTGGCTGTTCCTCGCCGGGGCCCCTTGGAGGGGAGCGGGTTGAGCTTTCCTCCCCGCCCCGACCAGAGCTCCGGCAGCCGAAGACCTCCAGGACCAGCCACCACCATGCTGAGACCACTCTCCGCACACATGAAGGTACTGGCAGAGGGACAAATCCACGCGGGTTCCGGGGCCGAGATCTCCAAGCCTACTCGGATTGGAGTCGAGCATCCTCCACCCAGATCCTCCAAATTCCAGTAGGCGGGGGTCACACCCATCACCTGGCCCCCTGGCGCCGTGTAATCCCATCAACGGCCAAGACTCAGAGACTATAAAATTCAGCTCCCGGATGAGAACAGTGCAGTCTTCTGCCCCCGTGCCTGGCTGTTCCTTGCCGGGGCCCCTTGGAGGGGAGCGGGTTGAGCTTTCCTCCCCGCCCCGACCAGGACATCTTATCAGGACATCTTTTTATGACATCTTATTATCTCATTCCTACTTTGGACAAACTTGCAGGCTATCGAATGTAGCCTGCCTACAGGGCAGAGTCTGGCAAACTTCCCGTGGCGTACCAAATATGCCAAATACCAGTAACAATGATGGGTCTCATTCTCCTAAAGAGCCTTGAATATAATCTCAGGGCTAGGATGAAAGAGACGTTATTGGGGCCTGCTCGAGGCAATCGACGAATAACAGGATGATGAAAAAAATGAAATTTTCATTAATTTAAATAAAATCTAAGGTACAAATTTCTTATACAATTCCATATGACAGAGAAAATATTAACAACATTCTTAATGTGTGTGCACTTCTAAATGTTAAACTTTATAAAGAAAAAATTCAAAACATCAGCTCAATTTTTATCATATTAAAAGGGAAATATTTTTTGGTGAATATTTTGGTGAGAATCTTCAACTCTCACCAAAGAGAAAATTTAAAAATGATGATGAATAATTTGCTTACTTAATAGTGATAAGACTTTGGGTTTACAAATATATAATAAAGGAAAAAGTCCATTTACTTTCAAGTTAAGACTTAACAGAAGTTTGGTGAGTCTATAATTAGCACCTAGCATGGCGGGCTTTCTAGAGTCTCAACATGAAAAACCTGGAGTGCGGGTCCCATTCAACAATCTCAGGGATGAAGAGCTTTTCACAGGCAAAGAACACATTACAAAGTTCATTAATTAAACAGTGCGGGTGGAGCAGATGGAAGCTACCTACGCTCGAATGAAGCTAAATTGAGACAGAGGTTTGCAGTCCTTAATGAGGCTCCATAAAATGAATGATTACATAGTGATCACAAGTAAACAAGGATGCAAGAAGAGCTGGATAATCAGGGCAACAAGTCCTGCAACATGGTAACAAGAAGACCTACTGAGTGGAAGTATCTAGCACCCAAAACACCTGAGGTCACTCCATTCCAGACGGTTTCTGGGGCTGAGAAAAGCCACGGGTGTCTGCAAAGGGTTAAGCCTGAAACCACAGTTGGTAGGGCAATAATAAGAAAATGCCTGGTCATGAAAATAAATAGAAGAGAAATCTTTTTTTTTTTGGTCACATATTAAATGCATTATATAGAATTGGGTACTCAAGCTTCCTTTCATCTTAAGAAACACAGAGATGTAAAGGTACTTGGGTGATTCAAACTAAGAAAACTGCAAAAGCTGCAATCTATAAATGTGGACATAAAGAGTACAAAATGGTACTCCCTGCACTCCCATCACTAATTCTTTACTTTTTTAGTTATGTCACTGCGCTAACTTTATTTGGTGTGCTCTCATTAGCCTTTCCTGTATATGGGGATGTGAATCAATTAAAAAGATACTTTTGTGGGGCTGGAGCCACAGTGCAGTGGATAGGGGCACTTGCTTTGTACACAGTTGACCCTAGTTCCATACCAAGCACCACATATGGTCCTCGGGTCATGTCAGGATTGATCCCTGAGCACAGAGTAAGGAATAAGTCTTGTGCATAGCTGGATATGCCCACAAAAAAGTAAAAAAAAAAATCTTAGGATTCCTGGGTAGACTGGAAAGTTATTTTGCTAATAATTATTTAATATGCTTCCTTCGGCAGGGCTGGAGCGATAGTATAGCAGATAGGGCGTTTGCTTTGTACACAGCTGACCCGGGTTCGATTCCTCCACCCCTCTCGGAGAGCCTGGTAAGCTAGCAAGAGTATCCCGCCCACACAGCAGAGCCTGGCAAGCTCCCCATATTCGATATGCCATATTCGATATGCCAAAAACAGTAACAAGTCTCACAATGGAGACATTACTGGTGCCCGCTCAAGCAAATTGATGAACAATGGGAGGACAGTGTACAGTGCTACAGTGCTGCAGTGCTTCCCTTGGCAGCTCATATACCAAAACTGGAAGAATTCAGAGAAGATTAGCATGGCTGCTGGGCAAAAATGACATACAAATTTGTGAAGTGCTAAATATTACCACCTCAACAGTAAAGTAACAACTGCTGAAGACAATCAGTGAGCTTGAAGATGAACTGCAGAAAACCTCCAGGTAACAACAAAAGATGGAAAAGGACCTAAAAATAGTTAAGGATAGACAAGATAGCTATGAGATTAATTCAAGAGGAACAATGTAAGAATCATTGGAGTATCAGAGGGACAGGGAAATAACCCACTGGAAGTAGTAACAGTTAAAGACATCATTGCTGAAGAGTTCGCAGAGCTGGAGAATGCAGGCATCCAGATCCCAGAAGTCCAAAGGCTAAAAGAGACTCTAATAAAAAGACCCCAGGATTTATCCTAATCAGAATGAAGAATACCAAAGATAGTGACACAACACTGAAAGCAGCAATATCCAAGAAGAAAATCACATACAAAGGAGCACCTCTGAGATTTATATCAGACCTACTGATTGAAATTCTCCAGGACTGAGGTCAGTAGTATGATATAGTTTAAAAATTTATGAAATGAAGGCCTCATCAAGGCCTCACTGGTTAGATTCTCATTCAGATTTGAAGAAATGATGCACATCTTAATGGAACTTCACAGACTAAAAACCAACTTTAATAGAAGAACCGAAGGGGGTACTGTAAGATAAGCAAACCCCACAAAACAAAAAACTTCTACAGAAAGATAGCAAAAAACTCCATGACAATAAACTCTCTCAATTTCAATGGTCTAAACACACCAATTAAAAGACAAAGAATGGGAAAATGGATTAAAAAACTGAACCCAATATTATGGTGCTTACAAGAAAAATATTTGCATAGTCAGAGCAAACACAGACTCAAAGTCAATGGCTGGAAAACAATTCTTCAAGCAAACAACTCCTTCAAAAAAGGCCAGGGTGGCCTTTTTGTATACTGAATACTAGTATACAATGACATAGATGTCAGGTTGTAAAAGGTTAGACCATTTCTTAATAATCAAAGGATATGTACACCAAGTTAAAATTTACTTTTAAACATATACACACCAAATGAGGGTCCAGAAAAATACTTAAAAAACAACTGCTAGTAGACTTCAAGGAGGACATTGGTAGCAACACAATAGTAGTTGGAGACTTCAACACCTCTTTGTCACCTCTTGATCAACAGGACTAAAACTCAGCAAGGAAATACATGTTTTGAAGGAAGAAATGGAAAAGAGGGGGCTAATATATATATGTACACACACACACACACACACACACACACACACACACACACACATATATATATATAAATATATGATTTTTCTTTCCCCAAAAGCCAAGTACACATTCTTCTCCAGTGCACATGGGACATTGTCCAATACAGAAAATGTGCTGGGCCACAAAACATACCTCCATAAAATAAAGAAGATAGAAATTGTATTAACTATCTTTTCAGACCATGATGCACTGAAAATAGAAGTTAATCATACACAGAAATGGAGAATCAAATCCAATACCTGGAAATTAAACAGCTCACTACTGAGCAACCAGTGGGTTAGAGAAGAAATCAAAAGGTTCCTGGAAACAAACAAGGAGGACATGAGCTACCAGAACTTGTGGGATACAGCAAAAACAGTGTTAAGTGGAAAGTTTATAGCTATGCAAGCATTCATCGGGAAGGAAGAAAGGGCCCACCATAAATAACTTAACTTCACAGCTTCAGATCCTGGAAAATCATCAACAAAAAGAGCCCAAACCAGGCAGAAGGAAGGAAATAATAAAACTTAGAGCAGAAATTAATGAGTTGGAATCTAATAAAACAATCCAAAAGATCAATAAAACCAAGAACTGGTTCTTTTTTTTTAAAAAAAAAATGGAATCACTGTGAGATACAGTTACAAAGCTTTCATGTTTGAGTTTCAGTCATACAATGACTGAACACCCATCCCTTCACCAGTGCACATTTTCTGCCACCAATGTTCCTAGTATCCTCTCCCTGCATCAAAGCTCTCCGCCTCCTTTATGGCAGACAATTTCCTCCATACCTCTATCTACTTTTGGGCATCATGGTTTGCTCAAATTCAAAAACTGGTTCTTTGAAAAATTAACACGATAGATAAACCGTTAGCCAGACTCACAAAGAAACAGAGACAGAGAACCCTAATAAACAGAATCAGAACTGAAAGGGGGGCATCACAACAGAAATCACAGAAATTCAAAAGATCATTAGAGATTACTTTGAGAATCTATATGCTGCAAAATAAGAGAACCTAGCAGAAAGAAATCAATTCCGGGATTTCTATAATCTTTAAGGCTGAACCAAGAAGATTTGGAATACATGAACAGACCTATAATTGAAATGGTAATCAAAAGTCTTTCTAAAAACAAAAGGCCTGGCCAGATGATTCACTAGTGAATTCCTTCAAACCTTTAAAGAGGACCTACTGCCAATCCTTTCAGGAAGCTGAAGAAGCAAACACTCCCAAAGAGGTTTTATGTAGCAAGCATTACCCTGATACCAACAGCAGCCTAAGATATCAAAAAAAAAAAAAAAGGAAAATTATAGTCAGATATCCCTGACGAACACAGATGTAGAGATCTGCAACAAAATACTAGCAAATAAAATTCAACAACTCATCAAAAAGATCATACGTACACCATGACCAAGTAGGATTCATGCTAGGGAAGCAAGGATGGTTTAACGTTCACACATCAGCCAACCCAATACACCATATCAATAAAAGGAAAAATTAAAACCATATTATCATATCAATAGATTCAGAGAAAGCTTTTGACAAGATCCAGTACTCATTCATGATTAAAACTCAATAAAATGGGAGCTGAAGGAACTTTTCTCAATATAGCCTGAATCCTATACCACAAAAACCCAGATCAAGCATGTGAATTGGAGGAAAACTAAAGAAAAAAATGGAGAAAAACTAAAGGACTTCCCTCTGAGATCAGGCACAAAACAAGTTTGCCCACTCTTGTCACTTTTATTCAATACAGTACTAGAAGTACTTGTCATAGCACTTAGGGAAGAAAAAAATATCAAGGGCATCCAGATAAGAAAGGAAGAAGTCACGCTCTCACAATTTGCAGATGACATGTATCTATACTTAGAAAATCTTAAGATTGTACAAAAAAGCTCCTAGAAACAATAGATCTGTATAGTAAAGTGGCAGGTTACAAAATTAGTAGCCGAAAGTCTGTGACTTTCCTATAACAGATGATGATCAAGAAGAAAGAGAGATTAAAATAAACAATCCTGTTCACAATTGTGTCTCAGGCAATCAAGTACCTGGAATCAGCATAACTTAAGAGGTAAAGAACCTATACAAGGAACTACAGGACATGAAGAGATGAGATATCCCCTGTTCATGGGCTGGGAGGATTATCATTATCAAAATGGCATTACTTCCCAAAGAATTATACAGATTTAGGCAGAGCCTAGCAAGCTACTTGTGGTGTATTCGATATGCTAAAAACAGTAACAATGGGCCTCATTCCCTTGACCCTGAAAGAACATCCAATATGGTAGCATTGGGCAAGATGAGAAAGGAGAGGCTGCCAAAAATCTCAGGGATGGGACAAATGGAGACGCTACTGGCGGCCATTTGAATAAATCGATGAACAATAGGATGACAGTGATACAGTGCAGTCCCTATAAGGATACCCATAACATTTTTCTAAGAAATAGACAAACATTCCCGAAACTCATATGAATAAAGAGTTAATATCAAAGATATGTAAGGCACTTTACAAGTGTAGATAAGTAGAACTTTACAAGGAAAAAGATACCCAACCCCATAAAAAAATTGGGAACTCACCACAATCTACCAACTGGCTCATCTCATCTTTCAGGAACTTGTTCTGTTGAACAAGTTTCAACAGAAACTTCCTCAAAGAAGAAATACAAATGGCCAAAAAGGCATATGAAAAAATGCTCTACATTACTAATTATCATGGAGATGCAAATCAAATCAATGAGATTTCATCTCACACCACAGCATTGGGCACACATCAAAAAGAACAAGAACCACAAGTGATGACAGAAATGTGGAGAGAAAGCGACTCTCATCCATTTTTGGTGGAATGCGGATTGATTGAGTCTTTTTGAAATTGAGCTTCCATACGACCTAACAATACTACTTCTGGGAATATACTCTGGGGGCCCAAACAGAGCAGACATGTCATCTGAACTTCTATGTTCATTGCGGCACTATTCATAATAGAATCTAGAAACAACCTGAGTGCCCAAGAATAGATGACAGGATTAAACCACTGTGGTACTTTCACATAATGGAATGCTATGCAAGTACGAGAAAAAATAAAGTCATGAAATTTGGTTGTAAATGGGATGGACATGGAGAGTATCATGCTGAGTTAAATGAGTCAATAAGAGAGAGACCGATATAGGATGATTGCACTCATCCGTGGGACAAAAAAAAAAGATCGCAATATGAGAGCAATACACATGGTCAGTAGAAGCAAGGTCCATGAATGGAAGCTGGCCACAAGTGGAAGGACATGGAGAGGGCAGTTAGGATAGAGAAGCAACCACTATGACAATGACAGTTAGACATGCTCTCTCTGGATGAGAGAGAGAGAAGAGAGAGAGAGAGAGAGAGAGAGAGAGAGAGAGAGAGAGAGAGAGAGAGAGAGAGAGAGGAGAGACAGACAGAGACAGAGAGAGAGAGAGAAAGAAAACAATTTGCCTGCCATGGAGACAGGCTGAGGTGGGAAGGAAATGGTGGCATTGGTGGTGGGAAATGTACATACACTACTGAAGGGATGGGTATTGGAACACTGTATGACTGAATAAACGTTATAACTGTGTATCTCATCCTCAAATAAAAAAATTTTTCCTAGTGATGAGAGTAATCCTAGCATAGACATTCTAGAGTTGGTAGATTTGTTGACTGCACACCACAATCTACCAACTGGTTCATCTCATCTTTCAGGCCTAGGCTTGCAGGCTTAGGCTGACCATCCCAAGGTGTCCAGTGCCCCACTGTTACTACTTGACCACTCTAGGAGTAATCCCTCTAGTTCTGTAATCTGTTC